ATATAATATTTACATAAAATACGACAAGTAGATCATAATGACATAAAATAAGATAGATAATAATAATTGCATAAAATACGATAAGGAGATGATGGTAATGACATAAAATAAGATAACCAGATGAGAAGAAACAACATGATAATAATTCCACCACGACTCCTACACGACCACGCATTCGCCGCTCTGTCTCCGCTTCATGTCCCGAGTCGCCAGGGAGGTTCACCGCCGCTGCATGCTACTCTTCGCAAGCTGTGGTGTCCTGTAGTTTAATGGTCTCTGATTTGAATTCACCAGAAGAACCACTAGATTATCTGGCAGGTCTAGAGGGAAACTCGGCATCTGTTTAGCTGGTTCATTAACGGAAGAGACACGTAGGTATGAAAAGATCTAGATCGACGTCAGCGCCAACGGGGGAAGGTGTTTGCGAATCAGAGAGAGGGAGACGGTGAAGGGGAAGGGGGAATGGAAGGAGGGAGGAAGGGAGAGAAGGAAGGAGTAGAGGTAGGAGGTAGGAGGGGGAGGGGAAGTAGAAAGGAGGAGGATGAAGGGAGGGGTGAGAGGAAGAAGAAAGGAGGAGGATGAAGGGAGGGGTGAGAGAAGTAGAGTGAGAGGGGAAAGAGGAGAAAGAGAGAGGGGAGGGGGAGGGAAGTTGGATCAGGAGCTATTGAAGAGAGAGGGAGAGATGGAGAGGAATAAGGAGAGAGATCGTGTAGAGAAAAATGAGGGAGAAGGAACGAGACAGAAAAGCACACAAGCAGACATTGATACTTAAAACGAGAACAGAGAACACTTAGGCAGAAAAAAGCAGATATCAAAAAGAGAGAGACAATTTGCGAGAGAAATTAAGGTGCATGATATTGACTGCATTCTATTCCTAATCTTCCTTCGTAATCTTTTAACTGCGAAGTGATAGTGACGAATATATCCTCATTTTTCTCGTGACTGGACAAAAAGCTAAGTAAAGTCTCAAACCTGTTTTCATTGTTTTCCATTTTTCCTCCTTCTCGTCTTCTGTTCCTTCTTCTGTTCTGCCGGTCATCACCATCATGATGATGCTTACCCCCACCATCAATATTGGCTTTGCTATCACCATCACTACCATCATCATCACCACCACCTTCATTTTCATCTTCATCATCACCATCACCACCACCTTCGTTTCGCTATTGTCATATTTTCATTCTCCCTCCCTCCCTTCCTTCCTCTCCATCCTTTTCCTCCTTCCCTCTCTCTCTCTTTCTATCTCCCTCCCTTCCTTCCTATCCCCCTCTCTCTCTTCCTTCCTTCCCTCCCTCCTGCCCTCCCTCCTCTCTCTCTCTCTCTCTCTCTCTCTCTCTCTCTCTCTCTTCTCTCTCTCTCTCTCTCTCTCTCTCTCTCTCTCTCTCTCTCTCTCTCTCTCTCTCTCTGGGTCAAGCTACCTTCTTCAGCCTCGTCATCTGGGTCTTCCAGATCCTTGTCCCGCCCACACACACACGCCAGGATCTGGTTGGTGTTGCTTGCGAGGCGTGGGTGGCAGGAAGGGAAAAGGAGGACGTAGAGAAGGGGACGTAAAAGATCGTGAGGGGGAGAGGGGGAGAAGGAGGGAGAGAGAGAGAGGGATGGGGAGGGAGCGGGAGGGAGAGAGAGATATTAAAAATAATAATAATAATAATAATGAGTCAAAAGCTTACATCTCAAAAGGATGAGGTAACTTAGGTCATCCTCACTCCTATCTTAATAAGCATCTATGTAGGCTCACATTTCACATACAAAACATGCGTATATCAACAAATGAGACACGGACGCGCATCTCCATTGGATCTAACCTAGTCCAATGAATCAGGTCTTGAGTCAGGCCAAACTATTACACGTGTCAAGAGGTTCGAAACTGCTTATAAACAGATAGTTTACATCTGGGTGATACTTTCTTGAGTAATTCTAAATCACTTGTTTCAAGAGAAGGTCCATCAGTTCTGTATCGCGTCCTTATATTTCTCTAACAGAGGAAGGGAGGGAGAAAGAGAGAGAGAGAGAGAGAGAGAGAGAGAGAGAGAGAGAGAGAGGGAGCTGTTTGTTATAGTGAATACAAATATCGATGGCGGAGGACGGTGTTGCAATAATGATGATTTTAAAAGGAAGAAAGAGTTGAAGAAATACAAATAAATAAGAGAATAGAAAAAAAATCGATAATGGTAATAATTGTGAAGATAATTATAATATTAATGATGATAAAAGACTGAGACCTTAATTAATGGCTCTTGACGCAATAAGATATTAAAGGAATTAAACCAATTTGGGACCAAAATTCATAATGAAAATATGATGATGATGACTGTTTTTTTTTTTAGTATTTAAAAAATAAGCACTCTGACTTCACCAATTTACCCCAATTATTTTTGTCTTACTCGTCCTTGTGATACGTTTAATTAGATTATATAAAACAGCCAAGTAACTAAAAGACAACATTAGAAAATAAGACACAAGAATGACAAATAATAACGGTGATGTATAAACACGACGAAATATAGTCAAACAAACAAAAAACGTAAAATGACTATTATGGAACTTCCCACAGAGAGACGACATACCTTTTATTAATGCTAGTAAATACTTGAAATGAGCCAAAATGTTTGAAATGAGCCAAAATATCTGAAATGAGCCAAACGCACAGCATCGAGAGCGAGGAGGGAGTCGGAAGCAACGCGCAGGCAACTCCTGGACTTTCTCTCGACGGTGAGACAGCGAGACATATGATCGAAGGACTTTTGAAACCCATTTTAGTGTGTGTTTCGAGATTTAGCTGCAGTTTCATGGGCGTTTGCGGTTGAATCTGTATGTACTCATCTTTCTTTATTTTAATGTTTTATTTATTTTATTTATTTTTTATTCTTTATTATATATATTTTTTACTCTATTGCTGTCACAATGTGTGTCGCTCTATTTTGTTTTGTTTCTGATACTTTCTTTCTTTCTGTTTCTAACTCTCTTTCTTTCTCTCGTTCTCTTTCTTTCTTTCTCTCTCTGTATATATATATATGTGTGTGTGTGTGTTTGTGTGTTTGTGTGCGCGTGTGTGTGTGTGTGTGTGCGTGCATATGTATAGTGAAAGAGATGAAAAAAAATCAGTTCAAGCTTGCAATGAAAAGTAATCCGCTGACGGACATGTATTTCACCTCAACAAGGTAAACCTGCCCTCATGTCACCTATCTACATCATATATCATATACCATGCCTCCTATCTACATACACGTATTTAAGGCACGTACAGACGGCCAACCAATATGCGATTTCAATAGTCGACGTATGGTGAATAATATCGAGGGAACAGACATACGCACATACATACATGCATGGCAGCTGGGCAGGAGGGTACGGTAAGTGAAGGTAGTGGGAGGGGTAGGGGGTGGGTGAGGGGAGAGAGTGTTATTGGGGTAGGGGAGGGAGGAGAGGGAGGGGAGGGGGATGTTTGAGGATGGGAAGGGGGGGAGAGAAAGGGGTAGGGGCGTGGGGGGTGGAGAGGTCGTGCGTGTGGGGGATGGAGGGGGTAGTGGCCTGTGGGGGGGGGAGGGTCGGGTGCCAGGCACGAGAGAAAGGCACAGCGAAAGAGGGGACGGGTTTCACCTGCGCTGGCTTGGCATGTTTTTGCACCCGGGCCATGGTAGGTGCCCGTCACATTCGCGCACACATATGCCTCACCCCCCCCCCTCACCACACACACACACCTCCCCTCTTCATCTCTTCCCCACTTCCCATCCTTCCCCACCTCTCCTCTCACCCTCTCTCAACTTTCCCCTCAACTCATCTTCCTCACTTTCCCTCCCTTCCTCTCCTCTTCCCTTTCGTCCAACCTCCCCTCCTCATCTCTTCTCCCCCTCCCCTCTCCTTCCCTCCTCCCCCTCTCCCCTCTTCGCCTCCTCCCCTCAACTCCTCTTCCTCTTCAAGCCTCCGGGAGCGAGCGGGTTATTTTAACCGGATACGTTATGATTTCTTTTCTTTCGATTTCCTTGATTAAATGAAACAGAGAAAAATATTCGAAATGGGAGGAAAGAGAAAAGGAAATTAGTGGATTTAATGGATGAAATGTCTGTGATAAACTAAGAGATACAAAACAAGTAAAAGAATCTTTTGTAATGCCCCCCCCAAAAAAAAAAAATAAATAAAAAAAATAGAAAACGAAATACCAATCTATGCAAGAGGTCGAAAGTGTCAGGGGGTGCAGGGGGGGTAGTGGGTAGGGGGAGGAGAGGGAAGAAACAGACGGGCTGGGGAGGGAGTGAGGGAAAGGGGTGGGGGGGGAGGAGGAGGAGGAAGAGAGGTGGTCGAAAGGAGTTGTAAAAAGAAAAATAATACGGGCATCAGCTGAGCGAGAGAGAGAGAGAGAGAGAGAGAGGTTGGCGGTTCACTCCTGGACTCGCGCCAGAGTTTTCTCGCGCGCGGATCCTGGTCAGTGGTACCAACCCTCCGTGACAGGAAATGGCTACACTGGAGACGACACTCAAAGGGGAGAGGGGGCAGGAGGAATTAATCTCGGGTTCATTCAACTTAATTTTCTGGCTTGTGTATCGGAGAAATTTTATGAAATTACTGTTAATAAGGAGTGGATTTGTCATCTATATATAAAAAAATAAAAAATGGACGAGGATGTGTATGGGGACGTTAGCAACGCTGCCCTCCGCCATACTTCCTGGATCGGTTCCCAAACTCTATTACTAACCTAAGGCTCGGTTTCCTCTGCCGAATAGTTTAACCTGATTTGTTAAGCTTCTCTACACGCGCCTTATTTTTTGTGTGGGTGTTCCGTTTTCTGAAAAGGGAGAGAGAGAGCGAGAGAAAGAAAATTGGCTATTAGAAACAGAGATGCGGGAAAGGATATAGGAATTATGAGATCAAAAGGAGAAAGAGAGAGTAAGAGCGGGAGAAAGTAAGAGAGAGAAAAAAATAAAAAATAAGTAAATAAAACGAAGAAAACAACGAAAGATACGATAAACCTTTTTCAATTTCAACTGGTTATTTTCACCGGGTAGAGAATGAGCCTGGTGTAGGTTAGTATCGCCATCCAGCTTTTAGCAGACCTGTTTCGTTCTAGTCATCCTTGTCACTGCTCTCATCCAGGTCTTTCTAGGTCACTGCCAGTGCTAACCTGAACCTGGCTTAGTCACTGTCACTGTCAAGACTATGCCCGTCACTGTTACACTTGACATTTCTCCTCCCTGTAAAATCTGGTCACCATTATCATGACTTTCTTCCAACATGCGTACCTTGTCATGCTTTGTTACATGCTAGATTCGAAACCTGTTTTTGGAAGTCCCTCCTCGTGCTAATGTGGTGTTCACTCTCTCCCCTTCAGGTATGTGGAGGCCGTATTGCAGCGACAGGAGCTGGCGGCGGCAGGTCAGCAGTGCCTTGTTGTGTTCGCTGGCGTTGCGCAGTGGTGGTTTTTGTGAGATAATCTCTCTTGAGTACTGGGTGAGTGATTCTCTTTGTAAAGTGAAGTGGGTACATACGAATGCATATACATAAACATCTATACAGATGCACACACACACACACACACACACACACACACACACACACACACACACACACACACACACACACACACACACACACACACACACGCACACGCACGCACACGCACACACACACACAAACATACACACACAGGACACTCACACGCACAAAATCCACAAGCACAAACAAACAAATAGACACAAGAAAGTATTTTTACTTTCCTTATAAGTTCCAGAAGCACATGATCTCCCCCCCCCCCCCACCCCTCCCCCCATTCCCGCTCTCTCATTCGCACATGCATACTGATTCCTGCATGGACGCGCATCCTGTTCTGGACTCAGTATCTTACTTCATTCAGATTGCATTGGCTTTATTTACAGTCATGCACAAGCACATACATGCAGACATTCAGTAAATACGTGCGCAGACATGAACGTGCATGTGTACTTTCAATGATCACATGTATACGTATACACATGCAGACATACGTTCTTACATGTATGCATAGATACAAACACACGCTATAATATCATATATGTACGTATACAAGCATGCATTCATAAAAAAAAAAAAAAAAAAAAATTGGGCATACACATCTCCATGTACATATACATACACACGCACATACGTACGCATATGTTCTTACTTTCCCACTATGATTACTAACATTGTTATTATCTCTGTTTCTGTTGTGTCAATAATATCCGTTTTCTTTGTGATTTCTTATTGTCACCATAATTTTCACCATCAGCATCATCAACACCGTCATTTTGCTGAATCATAGGAACACAAGGAAAGATGTAAACTGTAAAGAAAATTTAGGAGGAGAACAAACAGAGACTGAATGAGGGAAAGAGAGGAGGGAGAAGGAAGACGAGAGAAGGGGAATGAAGTAAATACAGAAAGGGTAAGGAGGGAGAGCAAGAAGGGAGAAAGAGGCATAGAGGGAGAGAGGGAGAAAGTTGCAGATAGGAAAAGAGAACGAAAGAGAGAGAGATAGGGAAGCGGGAGAAAGAATAAGAGAAAGAGACAGGGAAAGAGAGAGAGAAAGAGAGAAAGAACGAGAGGGAGAGAGAAGGGATACAATACAAGATTGAAAAGACGAATGTAAAAAAGCGACAAAGAAATATAAGAGAAAGGAAGGAGATAGATCATAAAATGTGCGAAATTACGAAGGTAAATGCAGACGAAGATGCAAATAAGTACATATAATAACAAGAGAGAGAAGAGAAAGGGAAATAAAAAGATTAATGAACAGATACACAAAAATAACAACCGGAAAGGCATAAGCGGTTATCTGTTAATAATGTTAGCAATGTTTTTGCTATTGTAACACACTAATGTTAATCCAATCATTGCTGTTGTGTTGAATATATCGTTGTCGTTATTATATTTTTTAATGATTATGATTAATATCTTCACATCATCATTATTATTATTTACTACTATTATCAGTATTGCCATTATCACAATACTCTGCAAACGTTATTATTTAAGGCCTTGATGCTAATTCAGAATGTTCATTTTTTCTTAGAACTGTTCGATCTCTATTTTTTCTAAAGTAAAAGCAAAATACCTTTTTGATTACCCGAAACAAAATACACAGAGATCCAAGGAGTAACATACAACATTGTTATGGAATAAACATTCAGTCCGAGTTGATTATCTGATAATTATAATTAGAATTGGGATATGAATGATTATATATTGGTGATAAATGGTAATTTAATTTTCATCCATACAGTATAGTTCTAATAAAAGGGCTGAGTGAAAGGCCTACGTTATTTAAAGTGCTTGAGAACAGCAACAAGCAATGGCGTTTTTTCGTTATCTGAAAGGTTTTTATTTTTATGAGTACATAACTTGAAAAGTTATCCCGTACAAATCACATTTCAAAAGGTAAGAACGTGTCCTAAACTATTCCTGTGTTGGGGTTTTATCTACCAACGTGTATTGTGTTGAAGATTTTTAGTTGAGTATTGAGAGAGTACACGGCATAATGTATGTTTTAAAATCACATTTAAAAAGGTTTTGGTTATAGTCCGTGAATTCTTTCTTTTTAAAATTGTATAAAATCATCTATTTAAAATCGATCACTAATGATTCCAATCGCTATTAATGTATTTTTGCCATACTCTACAATATAGTCGCGGTTGAGAAATAAGCTATTGTTGTCAAATTTCTTACACTATTCAAAATGTTATTACAAGTTCTTTCGGCTGTATTATCACATATTTTGTGAAGAGAAAAAAAGAGATATTATCTTTATGGATGTTGTTAACAGAGATATCACTGCCATTGTCATTGATGATAATTTATCAAAGAAAATGAGAAACCGCTGCAGACTGCAGGCGTCCAGGAGATAAAAATGAGAAAGGGAATAAGGAAAAGAGATAAAACTGAAACAGAAAAGAAGATAAACAAAGCAATAAAAATGCTATATGAATAAATGCAAGACAAACAGAACAGTAAAAAAAAGAAGGAAGAGAGTGACAGGCGAGTTAAAAGAAAGGTAGTGTGACGCAACAGCCTGGTTTACGGCTCTCCGCCTCTCTCCTGTGGTATTTCCTGCGCATATAAACCGGGCCTTTCATTTGAGGACAATGTATACGTGCGCGCGGATGTGGCTGTGTGTGCACGCGCGCCGAATGCATACGAGCGCACTTACGTACACCCTCATACTCGAGTTTCTTAGTTGTTGGTACTTTCACTGAATCTTTCCTGTGTATCGTTTCTCATTTTCTTTTTTTTATGTTCTTTCTTTCTGTCTCTCCAAATATACGCACACCAGCATATACGCGCAGACTTATATAAATATAAAAACATATATAAACATATAAACACACACACATAAACCCATACGCTCATAATCATAACAAAACCGAGACCATGTGTTCTAAGCAAACAACTGAAAAAAAAACATAACTCTCTCCGTCTCTGAAAAAAAAAATGAGACCTGTTATTAATATAAAAAAAATCTATATTATTATAATTTCGATATCCGTTATATCCATTTTGGTGACAGTAATGATGATTTTATAAATGAAGCAGTGGTTATAGTAGTGATATTGTAGCACCGATGAGAACATTCTTTTGTAGACTTTCGATAAATACAGGATTAATTGAGCCGTTGAGAAAAAATGGCGCCAAATCTCGGACTGTCTCGACGCTGTCTCGACATCGCGTGAGTTTAAAAGATAGGAAGAGAAAAGAAAAATCGACGTAGAATGGCATAATTTGATGATTATGGACTAGCTAGAAGAAGTGATAGGCAAGGAGATATAGAGATTAAATAGACAGAGATGAGACTGATCAGAAAGAACGATAGGCAAGGAGACACAAATACCAAATGGAAATACATATAAAAATACGAAGAACTGAAAAATAGGAGGAAAGAAAGACAAAAACAAGTAAAGAAAAAAATCAAAGATAAAACGCACAACAATAACAACAAAGACACAAAAAGAAAGGAAAAAGAAAGTGCCGATAACTCCGAAGTTCTTTTTTTTTCTCCCACTTTTTCTTCTTTTTTCACTTTTCCCTTACGTAAATAAACCATAACGGAATGTGCACGTATCCCCCCTCAACCCCCACCCCTACACACACAGTATTAGTAACCAGTAACCGGTCTAACCTTTCTGGTAATCGAATCACAGCCGTTGGCGAGTGAAAGTGAAACTACTGGAGAGTGTGTGCTGAGGAAGGGGGGGGGGGGATGACGAATAGAAGTGGGGGTGGGAGTGAGGGGGGGGGGTTAGCAAGGGAGCGAGATCTAAGGAGGAATAGAATAAGCGGAGAGCGAGAGAGAGAGAGAGAGAGAGAGAGAGAGAGAGAGAGAGAGAGAGAGAGAGAGAGAGAGAGAGAGAGAGAGAGAGAGAGAGAGAAGGGGGGACGGGAAGGAGCAAGAACTATACATAGAAAATCAATTAGACTAAGAAAGAGAAAGAGAGAGAAAGAGGGAAAGAAAGGGATGAGAAGAGGAAGAGGGAAAGGGTAAGAAGAGAAAGAGAAAGAGAAAGAGAAAGAGAAAGAGAAAGAGAAAGAGAAAGAGAAAGAGAAAGAGAAAGAGAAAGAGAAAGAGAAAGAGAAAGAGAAAGAGAAAGAGAAAGAGAAAGAGAAAGAGAAAGAGAAAGAGAAAGAGAAAGAGAAAGAGAAAGAGAAAGAGAAAGAGAAAGAGAAAGAGAAAGAGAAAGAGAAAGAGAAAGAGAAAGAGAAAGAGAAAGAGAAAGAGAAAGAGAAAGAGAAAGAGAAAGAGAAAGAGAAAGAGAAAGAGAAAGAGAAAGAGAAAGAGAAAGAGAAAGAGAAAGAGAAAGAGAAAGAGAAAGAGAAAGAGAAAGAGAAAGAGAAAGAGAAAGAGAAAGAGAAAGAGAAAGAGAAAGAGAAAGAGAAAGAGAAAGAGAAAGAGAAAGAGAAAGAGAAAGAGAAAGAGAAAGAGAAAGAGAAAGAGAAAGAGAAAGAGAAAGAGAAAGAGAAAGAGAAAGAGAAAGAGAAAGAGAAAGACGTTGAGAAAGAGGGAGACAGAGACTCAGAAAGTTAGAGAAAGCGCCACAGACAGAGAGAGATAGAATGAGAGATAAAATTAGGGAGAAACAGAGAAAGGAGGAAAAAGGGGAAAGTTAGGAAAGAACAGACAAAGTAATAAAGAAAGAGGCAGAAAGTCGTTACAAAAAAAAAAAAAAAAAAAAAAAACTTTTAAGAACAAAATACCTACAACACAACAATACAAACCCATCACCATTAACAAGATTCTCTGTTCTTCAAAATATCAAGTATTGTTCTTTGCTGAAGCCATGCAGTTGTCATTAGCATTCGATCCTGTACGCCGGGCTCCTCCCTCTTTGCTCTCTTCTGTTTCCTTTCCCCTCCTTCCCCACCTCCCCTTCCGTTTCCCTTCCTCCCATCCCTCCCCTCCCCTTTCTCCATCCCCCCCCTCCCCTCTTCCGCCTCATTTCCCC